AGAGCAGCTGGAAAGGTATCAAGGAGGCAATCGTTTCAACATGTCAGGAGGTTCTGGGCCAAAAGAAGCACCATCACAAGGAATGGATCACTGTTGGTACACTGGATAAAATTGAAGAAAGAAGGAACAAGAAGGCAGCAATCAATATCAGCCGAACAAGAGCAGAAAAAGCCAAGGCACAAGCCGAATACACAGAGGCAAACAAGCAAGTGAAGAGGAGCATCAGGACCGACAAACGTAAATATGTGGAAGATTTAGCGATGGCAGCGGAAAAGGCTGCAAGAGAGGGAAACATGAGACAACTGTATGATACAACAAAGAAACTTGCTGGAAATTACCGTAAGCCAGAAAGACCAGTGAAAAACAAGGAAGGCAAAGTAATCAACGATATTGAAGAACAACGAAACAGGTGGGTAGAACACTCCAAGGAACTCTTGAATCGACCAGCTCCACTGAACCCACCCAACATCGAAGCAGCACCCACAGACCTCCCAATCGATATTGGCCCACCAACAATTGAAGAGATCAGCATGGCCATTAGACAAATCAAGAGTGGCAAAGCAGCGGGACCAGACAACATCCCGGCAGAGGCACTGAAAGCAAATGTAACGGCAACTGCCAAGATACTCCACATCCTCTTCGGTAAGATTTGGGACGAAGAACATGTACCAACAGACTGGAAAGAAGGACTTCTCATCAAGATACCAAATAAAGGCGATCTGAGCAAGTGCGACAACTACAGGGGCATCACTCTTCTCTCAATACCAGGAAAAGTCTTCAACAGAGTATTGTTAAACAGGATGAAGGATTCCGTGGACGCTCAACTTCGAGACCAACAAGCTGGATTTCGTAAGGATAGATCGTGCACAGATCAAATCGCAACTCTACGTATCATTGTGGAACAATCAATCGAATGGAATTCATCACTCTACATCAACTTCATCGACCAGGAGAAGGCATTTGATAGCGTGGACAGGACGACACTATGGAAGCTTCTTCGACACTACGGCGTGCCTGAGAAGATAGTCAACATCATACGGAACTCCTATGATGGACTAAACTGCCAAATCGTCCACGGAAAACAACTCACCGACTCGTTCGAGGTAAAGACCGGTGTTAGGCAAGGTTGCCTACTCTCACCCTTTCTCCTGGTGATCGACTGGATTATGAAGACGTCAACAACTGGAGGAATGCACGGGATACAGTGGACAGACAGGATGCAGCTTGACGATCTAGACTTCGCGGATGATCTGGCTCTTCTATCACAAACGCAACAACAAATGCAGGAGAAAACGACCAGTGTAGCAGCAGCCTCAGCAGCAGTAGGTCTCAATATAAACAAAGGGAAAAGCAAGACTCTCCGATACAATACAATATGCACCAATCCAATTACACTTGACGGAGAAGCTTTGGAGGATGTGGAAATCTTTACATATCTGGGCAGCATCATTGATGAACACGGTGGATCAGATGCAGATGTGAGGGCGCGGATCGGCAAAACAAGAGCAGCATACCTACAGCTGAAAAACATCTGGAGCTCAAAACAATTGTCAACCAACACCAAGGTTAGAATTTTCAATACAAATGTCAAGACAGTTCTTCTGTATGGGGCAGAGACGTGGAGAACTACGAAAGCCATTATCCAGAAGATACAAGTGTTTATTAACAGCTGTCTACGCAAGATACTTCGGATCCGATGGCCAGACACTATCAGCAACAAGTTATTGTGGGAGACAACAAACCAGATTCCAGCGGAGGAAGAAATCAGGAAGAAGCGCTGGAAGTGGATTGGGCACACTTTGAGGAAATCACCCAATTGTGTCACAAGACAAGCCCTCACATGGAATCCTGAAGGTCGAAGGAGAAGAGGAAGACCAAAGAACACATTACGCCGAGAAATAGAGACAGACATGAGAAGAATGAACAAGAACTGGGTAGAACTAGAAGAGAAGGCCCAGGACAGAGTGGGTTAGAGAAAGCTGGTCGGCGGCCTATGCTCCATTGGGAGTAACAGGCGAAAGTAAGTAATAGTAATCATGCGAAGTATGCGCGTGATAATAACGCTCATCACTGAAAATGGTTATTACTAATCTCCATGGGCTTGTTGGAGCAAACATGTTGAGTGAACAGACAGTCGTCGTCTCATCCTCATTGTTTTGAACTGCCCTAAGTGAAATGTTATAAAATGTCAATAACAAGTAATCATATGAGCTTTAACCGTTGTGCATATGTTAGTCACTATTCTGAAATTATAGGCTTATTAAGGTCTTTAAATATGTTGATTGGCTACACAAACTTCACCCATGTAAACTTAAGAAGACTGTTACCAAATCCAACTTGGAATCGGTTTTATTCAACAATTTATTAATTATCTGTGCTAATTGTCAACTGAAACAGATTACTTACTTTGTATGCATCAAGTTGCTGCTCATTTGATTTTTGGTTATCTTAATAGAGATCAATATAACTAGGTTTTATAGGAATGTGTCTTAACGCTTGGTTAGACACAGTGACAACTTTCAGATCTCTTAGCTATTGTATTACCTTTAGACAACTATACGTGGCGAATTAAATCTTCAACTATTAATCTCACGCTCGGCATTGTTGAACTCACTCAGTCAAAACTTAATGGTAGAATTTTGGGAATTTATCTTAATGCTAATCACTAATCAATGGAATTGATTGTTTATACAGTCTGAATTCGATGTAGATATTTAAGTAGAATCCAAAAAAAAACAGGTATGTATATTGAATTTCTCTATTCTCTTAAATCTTCTAGCCTTACTAAGAACAGATAGTAAATATAGCACATTGTGATTTCTACTCTTGAAAGTCAACTAGGTATATTACGAATGATATGATGGGATTAAAAGGGCAAAAGTACATTGATTTACTAAATGTGATTTTTGTTTAATAGTACTTCCGTTTTAATTCAATGTCATGATTACTCGGTGTAATATTTCTTTGTTTTCCAGTATGATATTCTATTCTATATAACATACGTTATTCTTGTATTAAGTTAACATGAACTATACTCAGCATGTGATTTGTTATAACTGCGATTATTTTTCACATATGTGATTTCATCCTAATTATTAATTAAAGTCAGTCAGACAGTCACAACGTAGAACTTCGTACGTACGTACATCAGTTCAAATTGCCATACCACATTAGCACAGAGATGCAGTTGTCCATTCAAATCCCATAGTGGTAGAAGTAGTAAGAGTATAAGCATTATGTGAAAGATAAGGGTTTGAAGATGTTATTGAAGGAGCATAATACGGTGAAATAAATTTGGAAAGAGAAAAAGGATACAGACATGAAGAATTCAGAAGATTAGAATTTGGTAGAACACAAAGAGTGGATGCACCTTCGCCATTGCAAACGATTTTCAGCCATGTCATTCAAGGTCTCTAACCATCGGTTGCTATCATCTCGCGAATCCCAACCAGGTAGTCTACACCTACCAACATGGCCCAGTCCACTTGTCAGTGACTTCATTGATTTGTGCCACGTTTTGGTCTGGCCACCCCTAGCTTTCTTCCAACCTACTCCTACACCATGAAACATTGCACGTCGGGGCAGTCGGTGGTCGGGCATACGTAACACATGTCCCAGCCATCTCAACTGACGAAGTTTCACTACTTCATCAATCGATTTGCCATCCCTACCTTGTACTCGTTTCCTAACAACTGCATTACTTATCTGGTGGTCCCAGGATATACGAGCAATGCTTCGAAGACACCTATGATCGAACACTAGTAGCCTACGAATATCCTCTACTCTTATCGGCCATGTTTCACTGCCATAAAGTGGGACGGAACGAACTGCTGCACAGTAAACCCGTCCTTTGGTTGCTAGACGGATATCTCGCCTACGCCATAAATGACGCAAGTTGGGGAAAGCTAGACGAGCCTTCTGTATCCGTGCTGAGATTTCGTCACATACCAGACCACAAGGGCTGATGAGACTCCCAAGATAAGTGAAGCTGTCAACACGCTCAACTTCTTCACTCCCTATCATTAGTTCAGGTGTCGATGCAACCCAATCCTGAAGTAACATTTTGCACTTCCAGGGAGAGAATCGCATCCCGAACATGCCTGCATAGTTGCTTATAGTGGTCAGAAGACTCTGCATGTTGTCAGCGTCTTCACCGAGTATAACTATGTCGTCGGCGTATTCTAAGTCAACAAGTGAGCCTCCTGGTAAAAATCCAACTCCAGGAGATTGAGATGATGAAAGTGATATCTCTAAAAGCATGTCAATGACAAAGTTAAACAAGAATGGGGAGAGTGGACAGCCCTGACGAACACCACTTGAGGTAACCAATTCTGATGACAGTTCGCATAGGCTCTAACTCGACTATTAATTAATTATTAATTAAAATGGGTGTACGTATCAATATATCAATGTGTACTTTCGACTAGAGTTGTCGTCGTGTTTTTGGGTTAGTGAATCTTCATTTGTACTTGTCTTTGTGTTCTTACTTTCGCATCGTGAGAATTGCAGTGGTTCCTCGTTTTTCAAATAAAAAGGATAAGCGATTCCAACATACTAAATCTGCGATGATTAGACACAACAATTAGTGTTAAATTAGAAGACTTATCAGTGAAGTTACGAGATAAAAAAATGTGTTAAACTGTTAACCGTTTCATCATGAAGCTTAACTGCTAATGTATATGACTTCGATAAAGAAACCTAGAAATCATTTTATACATCTAGTTACTTAGTTTTAACCGTGTACTAAATGCAAAGAGAAGGGAACTAACGAAATCCAGAAGTGGTTAGGTTAAAAATTCACACATTTTGAAATATGTGCCTTCTTGATGCTTACTGATCACCAGATAACAAGGAAGATCTTCGTCCGAAACCTATGAATGAGCTTTTTTCCTATAACTGATTCACAATCGGTTAACGAGTTGAAAATATACTGTCGTTTTTCGGAATATAAGTAGAATTGTGACAACCGTTTGAAAGGTTTTTAAATGAGCAAAATACCATCAAAAAGTCTAAAATTTATTAAATGTAAGATTAAAAAAGAGTACAAACATTTTGTTGAAATAATAATTACGAGGATGGTTTAACCATTAGACCTTATACGTATGCAATGAGTAATTTTCAAATAGTAAAAGCGAGTCAAACGACTTAGTCAATCATATGTGCTTGTTTCCATGACGGAATAGGCTTGATTTGTGTTTTAATCGAAAGTGGAGAAGTGAATCTTAACGTGTATTGAGGTCCACCGGCCTTATCATTTGTACCTAGAGTATAACATTGAAAAAGAAAAGAATCACGACAAGTTGATCAGATACACAAAAATAAAGTTCGATAGATTTAACTTCAAAATTATTGAAGATGACACTAGTTTCATCTGAATAACGCAAGAGTCTGAACACTCTTAGCTTCTCGTAATATATATATATATATATATATATATTCATGAATTTCCGGATAAAGAGTAAAATGAATACGTCATGTACTTTAGAAATAAGATTACGACTAATAATAAATATATTATATAATAGTACTATTTAGTACTATTCAAACTTGTGTTAATTTCATTTCGATTATCTATTTACTCTGAAGAACTGGCTTACAATAAGCCACGAAACGTCAAGTAGACCACAATGGTGCAACTCTTCTATTTTTATACCATAAGCCAATAGGTGGTTTGAGACTTGATGTAATTCTAATTAGTTTATATTACAAAGTTATGAGTTTTTGGAAATTTGACTATCAGCATTATATTTTATTCTTATAATAATAATAATAATAATAATAATAATAATAATAATAATAATAATAATGTAATGAACGTCAACTAGTTTTCCTACTACGTATAAACAAAAACTAATAATTATTAAATTTCAATCAATTTTACTGTCAAATCATTCATAATTACTAATTACTAAAGGTCAAAGCATAAAACAAATGGATTACTGAAAATTTTATTCTATTAAATTGACAATGAATCATAAGTGAAATGATACATTTTGAAAACCATATAATCGTATATAAATTAGTAAACAAGTAAACTTGTATACTAAAACTTATTCAATTCATGAAATTATACGTTATCATTATATGGGAAAATTATATTTGAAATAGTTTCAGCGACTGAAATCTAAATAATTCCAACGTTTCATTCAGCAAACTTATCAGTCGCTGAGATTATTTCAAATATAATTTTCACATATAATGACTCCTTCATACTCAGCGCCCAATTTTTGTCAAACTATTCATTCTAATATTGACGAATATTCGTAGATACATTATCAACAATGTTAATAGAGTGCTGTTAGAGGTATGAGGGCAGTTATCACTTCCCGGTTGCCCACACCGTGGAAGGGTTCTTCTAGAGGTACCTGAAAATGAAATTAGGTTAGAAGTGGTCTTAATGACCTGAGAGCGTGACCGCAGCGCCCAAGGGACAACTGCTTGAGGTCGGTCACACACGACCTTTCTGTGGGTAGTTTTTGTGTTAGCTCCGTACTTATATACTACCACAACTAAATTAACTACTTCTACGAATGCGGTGTTCATCTTGTTGTGCTAACGAGGTATGGCAACTTGGGCCGATGCATAAATGTGTCTGGTCTTACGTTGTAGCTGACTGACTGACTGATCAACAGTGTTATTAGTATTAATCCTGCACCGAGTTCACTATAAGACATATTTCAATTTTAAATGATTCACAAACTAACATCCAATCTAAATTGAATAATCTTCAGTCAATTTAACTAGTTGAATTTTATCTAGAAATAGTTTACAACTAATTAGATCATTTTTCTCATAAGATCAACACAATGAACAATTTTATTTTGTTAATATTTAAACCAATTACTATTGTTTAAATAATAACTCTCTTAAAGTTCATTGATAAAGGCAGGAGAATAAAATAGCTATGCTTTCATTGTCAGTTTTTTTTAATGGTACAACACTTTAATTTACCTGATAATCTAGCTCCGCCAAATGGTTGTTGACCAACTACAGATCCAGTGGATTGAACATTTATGTAAAAATTACCAGTTGTATCGATAAGGCGATCAGTGGCATACTTAATAAACTCTTCATCCTGAGCAAAGATGGAACCTTTTTTCAAAAAAAGAGAATAATATCTAAATGTTTTTTCCTTTCAAATCAATAACTGGATAGTTGTGGAAAAATAAAGAAACAAAGCGAAAACTTGGAAGCACTGGATGGCCGTTTAGTCCTAGTATGGGACCCCTCAACAGTGCGCGAGGCTAGATCGTAGATGCGCACTGCTGAGGGGTCCCATACTAGGACTAAACGGCCATCCAGTGCTTCCAGGTTTTCCCTGGTGGTCTAGCTTCAATTGACTAACGCTTTCAACTATGAAAATACTAAATCTCCACAAAAACCCCTTCTGATAAAGCGAAAACTGTCACAACTTATTTCAATAATATGAATTGTAAATTTCAACGAGATAGTAATTTTTTACACATATTCTACTAAACTATTCACTTCCAAATTAAAATGAAGCATTTCATTTTTACACAAACTATTGATTACTTTTAAGATTATTGCATTGCACAAATTGACCTTATAATATGAACAGTAGCAATATCTTAAATCTATTTATCATTTATTAATATGAAAAAACTTGAAAACAGAATAGTAAAAATAATGTTCTGTCCTTTATTTTACTGTGATACAAATAGTTTAAGTGTATTTATTCATAACCTTAAGGTGAGATTACGGAAAATATTTGTAGCTCAGGATAAAAGTGATGTGTTATCTACGTTGGATGATTTAATAATAAAGCTTTCATTGCCTTTTTGGACAACACCATCAGTACATGCTTTAATGAGAAATGAACTATTAGAATTTTTCCACAATCGTCTACTTGTTTTATATTGACCGGGAATTCGGTCAATCGTTGTCCATAACGGTGTTGTCATTATTTTAATGTTTGTTTTAACTGTTTTCAGTTGCGAAATAACTCCATTAGTTCACCTCTCAATGAAGTATGTGTTAGTAATGTTGTCTACAAGGGCGATGAAAGCTTCACAATTAAACTATTCAGCTCAGAGAATGCAACACACCAGCAGCGTCTAGACATGTTAATTTAGTAGTTGGAAATTGTCAACAGGAAACCTTCTATTAAAACATCATGGGAAATCGATGAATATTATAGGCTTAACACCTACATCATAATCATAGATGTTATCACAAATCTGTGGCTGACCACCTGAAGAACTTGCTTATACTACTTTTCTTTACAGTTACATGGACTCCGTGTACATTAAATTATATGGAGCTTAACAATCAAAGTATATGTTTTTGTACTCAATCTATTTTATGGAAGCTAGAGGAATCGCAAGCCGATTTTTAAAAATCAAGTCAACAGCGCAAAGTCTGATCCAAAACCCAATTATTTTAGGTGGAAATTTTCAAATTAATGAGTTACAATTTTCTCAAGGATGATTAATTCATAAGGGTTTAGAATGTCTCCCTATCAATATGTGATTGCACTTTGATCAATTGGTGGCTTACTGGACAATTCTCCAACATTTGACTTGATAGGATACTGGATTCCAGTTTTAGTGTCGACATCAACAATGGAATGTAGGTACATTAAGTTAATAAGTCCCAAATGAGACGAAATGTATATACTGGACTCCGCACAGCTCATTACAACACAAATTTACTGAAATTTGTTCAAGATAATTAATTAAAACCGTTAAAGCAAAATTTATTAAACGTTTATATCGATAGTAATATCATCAATTTATTTTCTTGATAATTGATTATGAACGTTTCATTAACAGGAGATTACTGGCTTAAAACCTGAAAATAAAATGAAGTGAATACGACAATCCTTAGTTGACTTGAAAACCATTAAAAAATGAGTAAAGGATAGTTTTACGATATATATATATATATATATATATATATATATATATATACATGTAGTTACCAGTTAATGCATAATCCGTAGTTGAATCAACCAAATCTAAAGTTTTCTCAATTTCATTTTCACGATATAAATATGTGCATAAAATTGGTCCAAAAATGTCATCCTAAATTTAATTAGGAGAAAAAAGCACAAATGTCAATATAAATAAAATAAATATCCATATACATAGAATCAGATTCTATCTAATTCATTTGATGAAATGAATTTGACGAATGAAATAATAACTCATTATATAAGACTTATGTAATATATGCTGATTAGAATTATTCTATTTAAAATATACTTTTAACATAATGATTGAATAATTCAGTGTAATATAAGAATGTAAAAATATCAAAACGAAATCAATTTGGATGTAAGTCATTCAAATAAATTTTACAACGTAATATATTCTAACTAAATGACTTAGTTCATCTATTATTAAGATAAGAAGAGAAAATTAGAATAAGGTATAGTTTTGTTATAAACGGTAGGATACTTGTTATAACAGTCTTTTCACTTTTTACAAGTATGTGGGACGTTAATTTACCTTAGACGAATAACTACACTAGATTCCCTCCCAGTGTCTATTCTACAGGACTTTAACACAACTCAGATCAAGAACACGAGGTTAGCCTGACTAGAACGTCAATATATTTCCACACCGAAATCCGACACAATCCAACAACAAGAACAGTCAATCAATAATAATCAGGATAGGGGAACATATAACACCTGTCACCCTATCTAATGTCTGACTCAGAAAAACAACCAATCATTATCCTCCTCGCCCACACATCAAGTTTATTAATCAGTGATAACCGCTAAATAATTGTTTGCAGAATTACTCGAAATTTATTGTGTAACACCCCTCCACCTTTTAAATAAGTGATCATACCTATATCTATGCAAACTTATTCCTACATATGATTACATAATTTCTACATAAATACAATTGTACAGTATTTGAAAATGAAAATAAGATATTCCGCATTGAAATATTTGTTTTACTTCTAAATGAGAATTATGAATTCACAAGGGGGTTTTTGTGAAGATTTTAGTAATTTTATAGTTAAGAACATGAGTCAATTCATAAGGAAGTTATAAAAAGTAAACAAATGAAGTATCAATTAAATCCTTTGTCTTTGTTATCACACATAGAATTAAATGTCTATGGACAATGCCATCAAGTTAAGCATTTCGAGGTTCAAGTCACATGCAACCTATTCAATAGTAAATTATAAGCAAAGATAAAAATTTTAATCATTCGATCAAAGTTTAGATTTCACATTAACTCACATCTATCTATGTATACACAGTTGACATAAGAATATTCTACACATAGCATTTTACCTTTGATCTAAATGACTGTTGGGACCCCCAGAGAATTCCTCGATAAGTTCTTCAGAGGCCAAGAGTAGACTAGGAACATTTTGTCAAATAAGCATGCATTTGAGGCATCCTAGGAACTACTAGGAAATTAATGGATTGTGTGCTACACTGATTGGATTACCTTACTACTAAATTAAAAATATATCTTCAGAAGTTCCCAAAGGTTAAAGATTACCAGTAAAAGATAAATACTGCTGTCCTTTGCACATAAACGAACCTGGAAGTAAAGCTTTTCTTCTTACTTAAGGCCTTTTCCTCACCGTCCGGAGCCTGAATGTAGGCGAATCCCGGAGATCTAAGAATCGGCTATGAAGTTTCTATTAAGCGTTCGAGTAACAGATTTACCGACGACTCTACGATGAAAAGAGTAGTTTTTTTGGATATACCACTTCATTTTTTAAAATTGTATTAGCAAAGAAAAAGTTCATTATTCTTTGGAGAAGTGGCTTGAACTAAGCTTTGAAATCTAAAAAATTCGACTTCCCTACTAACTAGGACCAAATAAACCTGCTAATATGTTTGTTTTCAGTGAGATTTTAGTATGACGATCAATTTTAATTTTGGTATCCTTAATTTACACTACATGTGCATTGAGTGAGATGGATGGAAGAGGTTTGACACATACATTCATCATACTAATATGAAAGATGAAGAATCTAAAGACATTAATAGCATTGTCGATATCAAATTCATACATGATATTACATCATGAATTGTCGAATTATCATTCTGAAATGTAAAGTGATAGAAAGTTATCGGAAGACAAATAACATTGTAAACATAATTTAAGGGCTTTAAAACAAAAGAAAATGACGTTATTTTGGTTGCTAAACAATATCGATTCACAAGTATAAACAATGATATATACCTTCATTAACTTATCTGTTGGATTATTAGTAATCAAAATTGTAGGTTGAATAAAGTAACCAACGCTATCATCTCTTTGACCACCGGCGACAACTTCAATATCTGGACAACTGGATGCATATTGTAGATAGCCAGAGATTTTATTGAATGCCTAAAATTAAATTTATATTCATTTTGTGTATAGTGGTAAATTGATGATAAAAACAATTTCTAAATAATATCAAAGAGATTTAAACATCTCATTGTATTAAATGATTCAGTATTAACCGACTTACAAACTTTTACTTCAGTAGATCACAATCATTTCGATAGGAATGATGAAGTACATTATTATCCGAAAATATAATTAATAAGCCATTGATCTGTCTACCCAATAATATACAGGAGAGAACTTATCTCGACATGAGCTACGACCTTGACACCGTAGACTAGCCAAATTAACCTTGAGGCTAGAAATGCGCAAATTCGAGTTGAGACTAACGGCCTTGGGTAGATAGTAGAAAGTCAAAGTATTTTACCGACTCGGACTTACTGGGACCTGTAACAATTACATCGTCCAAACGGACAGCAACTCCTGGCAAATTCTCCAGCATAGTGCCCACTATCTGTTAAAAGATAGCTGATGCTAGCTTTACGCCAAAAGGTAAACGTTTACATTGGTAGAAGCCTCTTTGAGTATGTTAGCAGGATATAGATTGGATTAAAGCACGTTCCGTGCAGAATTGTGTTGAGGCGCACTGACTGTCCGCTTTTTAGCCGGTCAGCACTAGCGGATACTTGGAGGAGACTTTAGAATATTCTTATATAAAAATTATAAAGGTGTTTTTACTATGATTCCTGTAATGAACAGAACACTGGTTGGGGACAATCGAATGTTTTTAAGCAAAATTATCTCAGTAAATTCTGATAACCAAACAATGAACAGTCAATTTGCAAATTAACAACCAATTGTTACAATCTTCACTGTTTCTTCTCTAATTCCATTGCTCATGCATTTTCGAGACGATTGCGCTTCATTTCAGTTCTTTCCTCATCGGTCTTCTGCCAAAATACATTCTATGTCTGACCCACACCATATACTACTTAAATGGATATAAGTAGACCACACCACATTCCTACTTCCATTCAACCTTGTTTATTCCTGTTCAACCATGTTCTGATTTGGAGACTTGTCGAGTGAAGCAGTGTCCAAGAATACTAAACATTAAGAGTAGCTAGGTCGTTATACGAGAAACCATAACAAGGTATTAATCGTTAGTAGTGGTTGGGGGGTTGGATCAACTACTATTTGGAGATATGCGTTAACAAGATCAATTTTGGCAAAATACAACCCTCCACTTAGTTTGATAAATAAATCTCCCTCTATAGGAAGTGAATAAGTATGATCCTCTAAGGCATAATTCAGAGCAGTGAAATCAGCACATATGAGGACAGACCCATTTGCTTTTCATACAACTACTATGGAAGCAGTCCACGGTGAATAATTTACTGGTTGAATGACACCTAATGCTTTCCATCAGTCAAGTTCTTGATCCATGACTGATAGAGGAGAATAAGGCATTGGTTGTTTTGATCTGAAGATGAGCTTTGTGTTTTGTTTTAATGACAAAAGTACTCGAGTGAACTTGCAGCAATCCAGTTTGTTTTTGGAATACAGATGATTTAAGTGAGATATAGTCGGTATCTCAGAGGAAACAGAGGATTTTGGTGTGGAAATACCATAAGGACAAAATGCATGAAATTTTGAAATCTTATGAGAGCATTTTTTACTGGAGGTACTTGACTTGAAATCATTATGAGAACACATTGCATCGAAGGTATTTGTTTGGAAATTTTATGAAAACATGTTACATTAGAGACATTCGATTCAGAAATATTATGAGAAATTTGGATAGATTCACAGGAAGCCTTATGAGAACATTGTTCATTTAATAAACTATTCAAGGTATCAATCTTCCTAATCCAGTCTAAGCCCAATAGATCCTAGTCATGTTAGTTCGTCAAATAACAAATATCATAGAATTTGCATTCCTTGAATTGCACCTCGCACACTTCTGTCAGCTTCACTATATCTCCTGAGGCATTTCGGGGAACATGTTCGGTTGGTTGAATGTGTGGATAACCTAGCTTACGCCGTGTATTTGCAAATCGGTGTAATGTCGGAAGCCGAATCTAACTGAATACTATGGGTTTTCCACTCACTAATAAGTCTGCATACTTCCGTTTACTTTGAAATCCAACTTTGAAAGTTGCGAACGTGCTCTTGATTTGACCCGGTGAATGTCGCTTCACATTTCCACTACGACATTTTGGTTGGCATTTATTTGATGTACAATGATCTTCTTTATGACCAGTACGATGAAGAAGGAGGCATTTGTGATTCTTGAACGGACATAAATTCACAAAATGCAATGCTCCACAAAGCCGACATGGTAATGGTGATCTATTAGAAGGTTGTTGTGTGTTTGCTGTGCTTTGTTTAGAAGACTTAGAGGACTTGAGTGCATTTGCTGAACTAAAATCGGAAGATTTCACCTGATGCACCATCGCGGTATAACTCCGCCTGTAGCTCCTCTGGGGGTTACTGCCGGTCCCAAGCCCGGGTAAAGGAGGAGGGTTGGGCATGGGGTTAGCGACCTCATCCCGTAGAAAATCAACTCGCTAAAAAAACGCTAACCAGAAAAATCATTCATTTGGAGAAAGCTGGTCGGCGGCCTATGCTCCATTGGGTGTAACAGGCGTAAGTAAGTAAGTAAGTAAGTAAGTAAGTAAGTAAGTAAGTAAGTAACCATCGCGGTATCATGTTTGAAATTTAATAACTGTTGACACTCGGTTGTGACTGTGGTAGTATATGGTGTGGGTCAGACATAGAATGTATTTTGGCAGAAAACCGATGAGGAAAGAACTGAAATGAAGCGCAATCGTCTCGAAAATGCATGAGCAATGGAATTAGAGAAGAAACAGTGAAGATTGTAACAATTGGTTGTTAATTTGCAAATTGACTGTTCATTGTTTGGTTATCAGAATTTACTGAGATAATTTTGCTTAAAAACATTCGATTGTCCCCAGCTAGTGTTTTGTTCATTACATTTGGTGTCGCTGCCAACCAAGAGGAGGAAGGGTGCTGTTCTGCGGACGCCGCTACGGGTCTGGAGTTGAGGTGCTAGTTGGGGCAGTCTGGTGCGGAGGTGGCGTCGAGTGGAGTGTTCTGGCGGGGCGGCGTTGGCTGTAGCGGGTGCCGTCGACGGAGAAGAGCAGTGAGACGTGCGGCTGCTGGGCGGACATCGGATGTAGATGGCTCAGCAGGCCGGTGGAGTACGGGTGTTGAACGTCCCAGGTGCCGGATGGATGCGGATGTTGGTGCCCCGGCAGGTCGATGGAGCTATGGAGGTCAGCGCGCCGCAGACTCGACATTCTGACGGAGAGTTTGGCACAGACTGCAGTGAAAGAAGATAGTGGGGTGGCGAGCAGAACCACCGCATGGTCGAATGCTTTAAAGGGGGGACGAGTGTGGTGTGGTCTACTTATACCAATATAAGTAGTATATGGTGTGGGTCAGACATAGAATGTATTTTGGCAGAAAACCGATGAGGAAAGAACTGAAATGAAGCGCAATCGTCTCGAAAATGCATGAGCAATGGAATTAGAGAAGAAACAGTGAAGATTGTAACAATTGGTTGTTAATTTGCAAATTGACTGTTCATTGTTTGGTTATCAGAATTTACTGAGATAATTTTGCTTAAATACATTCGATTGTCCCCAGTTGTGTTTTGTTCACTACAGTGACCACTTGCAGTCATATTAGGTTCCTGCTCAATGAAAGTTGAAATCGTGGTGCAGATGTCCATATCGACTGGTTTCTTTAATCCACAGATAAAAATCAGACATTTAAATTGATCTGCTGTAATTCCATTTAGTTTAAATCGTTCGAATTCTCTATTTACTTTCCCAGGATAGGTGAGATGATCATCGAATGGCGATTTTGATAATTGAAAACACTGATACAGTGTTGAATAATGAGGACTGTTCACCAAAAATTTCAGATAATATATGGATTGTATCATTAAAAGATAAATCCAGAAGATTTTGTGGCAGGATGAAATTAACATGTTATATTCACCCGTTCCGAGTCTTCTCAGAAGTAAGCGCACTTTAGCTGCATCATCGAAATTTGAGCATTCGGCGTGGAACATGTCTCCGGAACGATGAAACCAGAGATGGAATATGATACCAGATTCAGGATGATAGTTGAACTCACAAATGGAATTTGCGATGCTTTCATATTTATCTGGCTGAAAGATTGAAGTTGGATGAAATGAGAGCTACTGTGTCAGTGCATCCAAAAGCTTCACTTGATTTACATCACTCGGCGCTTTTTAAATTTGTAGGATAGTTTTAAGTTCGTCCAAAAAATATGGATATTTCCTTTCAAGGCCAGAAATGCGTGAGTCTGAAATGAGACTAACAACCCTGAGAAAAAACGAAAACTATTGTCACCTGATTGGTTGACGCGAGAGAGAGAATACGAGCTAACTGAAATACTACTCGATTTATTTCTGATTCCCAATCCCCAATATCAATTCAGATTAGTATAAAAATCTAGATGGATAAACAGATGACTAACATTCCTAACAGCAGGATCTATCTTCAGTGACGTTATTTCACTTAATTCAAAGCTTGTAAAATACTAAAATTTAGTTTTGTCCCTATTTTATTCTATAAATCATAAGCTTTCGTTTGATGCATGATTCACTGTTATACCTTTTCTGTTATAAAGCTATTGTAATTTAAACGTTAAGTTTGGTACCCTATTTTTCTATGCTAATGTCTAGTTTGGACATGATATTTTTCTGATTCGAAAATGAAGAAAGTTTGAGCGAACAAATGTTTGTGCGCTGTAGTCATGTTAGTCATCTCCCGTGTATAATATTGGGTAGACAGATCAAGTATGTAACAGTTGGGCAAATATTTCTAATACAATTAGGAAAACAACGAACGGAGTAGGATATTCTTAATTTTTTTTAAAATGACTCAAATAAATTGAGGCATAGAAGAGCGAAATAACAACAGAAAGGAGCCAATAGACTGGGAGATTCGGAAAATTGAAATTCGTAGGAGATAAATTAGAAAAAGAAAAGTGGTTATTTTCATGAGTACTTTATAATCAATGATTAGACTAAATTATGTATCCAAATCAATCACTATATGATACACAAATTCGCATTTTACTCTAACGGATAGATCAGTCGAGAGACTGAGACAACCAGATTAGTTGAAATTTAACTATTTAATTATGTATTTTAGTCATGCCCTCCACACCTTTTTACTAGCTTATTTATTACGTAAAGACTCGCGTATATGGCTGGGAGTCTCACACTTCAAGTGTGATATTACCCGGTAGCCCAAACAGAGAAAGGTGGAGCGAGGTCTTAACCTGTCACTTAGTAGCTAAAACCTAAAATCCTTAACCCGTGAATAACTGTACCGTCACTAACCTTACCCGGTTGCTTACACGAAAGTTTGGAACTATAACCAAGTAGTTGGGGTTGAAATCCTGTAGCCATGAATTTGTTATCAAAGATTCCAACACAACTCAGATAATAATTGACCCTTGTTTCTACTATAATTAAGTGATCATAAAAACCCCTTACAAATATTATAATAACACTAACTGCTCACAGTATGATCAATAACTGCCGATGTAAATGTATCTGAATCGAGTGGTGATCCAATTTTCAATTGTTCATAATGACCAAGTAAAAGTTGTTTGAATTTTGGCCATAAATTTTCTGGTACATAAAGTCGACTACATGCGCTACATTTTTGACCAGAATATTCAAATGAACTTCGGATAGTGCCTAGAGCAGCTTCTTCCAAATTTGCAGATGGATGTATAAAATGATAATTTTTGCCGCCACATTCTGAAACAATTTTATAGAATAAATTATATATATATATATATATATATATATATATATATATATAAGAGGTCGAGAAGCGATTTATTATTATCACTATTCTGTCAGTTCCAAAGGTAATACTAGCAGATTAGATTTAACTGACAAGCGAACAAAACACAAAACGATAAACTAAACACAATATTATTTACTGAAAAAATGAGTCACAGATCGGGGTTCGCGGCTTGCACAGACGAACAGTTGATCTCAGGGACTGTGCTCAGGACAGCACTAATGGTATCAGGAGAATAAGGTATGCGGAACAGAGAATCAGCGTTTGTATGTCGACTTCCAGATCTGTACTCGCACGTAAAATCAAACTCTTGCAACCTCTCTTGCCAGCGAGCCACTTGACATTTTGGCTTGAAGCCATTGGAGTGCACCATGGCCTGTGTATACACGAACAGAGCGACCAAAGAGGTTGTGACGGAAACTTTGCAAAACTTTAACCAGAATCAGTATCTCATCGCATTGTAGAATGTCTCGTTTCCCTTTGATCTAGCTGCCGACTAGCGTACGCTATGACACGTTCCTTTCCATCTTGTGTTATTTGAAACAGCACTGTTTCGATAGCTGACGAGATAGCATCCATACCAAGTATAAACTCATCCCCATTAACTGAAGTATTCGGAAAAGCTGGTATGGGTGAGACAGTAAGACGTGACTACAAAGTGTTGAATGCCTGTTGATACTCTGTGGTGCACAAAAATTTTAGTCTTTTATGTGTCAGGCGGTGTAAAGGTGCTGCCAAAGATGTGAAATCGCGTACAAAGCGTCCATAGTAGGGAGCGAGTCCTAGAAAGCTGCAGATATCGGCTCTGGTCAGTTAATAATGGCACTAGTTTTTTCCTTATCTGTCTCTACTCCTTCTGAAGTAATGCGGTATCCCCAAAAGAGCACCTTTCTGCAAGAGCCAACATTTAGATGGTTTCACCCTCATGTAGTTCTGCTTAAAACGTTGGAAAACTGCTCTCAAATTAGCATTATGGTGTTCGGGCGTGCTGGGGAAGTGACTGTGCAAACGTACCACTCGAAGAAAGCAATTGGACCTCTAGCTTTTATAGGAATGTCAGAAATTATACGTCATGTACAAAGTAATGAACAAATAATGAAGAGTGCATGTCTCTCAACTGTTTCTTCACTCCAATGATGTAGCTCTGTTTTCTTGGAGAATATCCCTGGAAACCGGACGGCTACTGTACAACAGTTCATTAACACAGGTGACCATATGCCGCTACGTTGCAGAGTGTCAGTGCATTATCAGCCACAGCTCAACTCAATGACAAGAGATGTTAAAAAAAATTATTGTACCTACCTCATCACCCTGGACCTCACCCACCGTTTTAGTAAAGGAAGAAGATTATTCTCTGTAGTCATGTGTAGATTACCGTCGTCCTAATGCTGTAACGAAACGCGAATCCTTTCCGCTCCCACGGACTGATGCTACGCAAGAAGCCATGAAAGGCATTTACTGGTTTTTCACTTTAAATATTACATAAGGGTAGTTAGTAAGTGGGAATATGACCTCAGGAAAACGAAAGACAGAAAATACCATTTACCAGAGATTTTGGTAGTCATTCATCCACGGATATATAACGGTATTTCGCAAAAATTGTAACACGTGTTATTCCATAAAGTCACTTCACCAAACACACCGTGCACCGTTAACCCCAACGACGACAGCATAGCCACATCAATGAGTTGGCATTGATATTATGGGACCACTTACAACAAAGAAAAACGGAAACCACTACATACTAGTGATGGTAGACTATTTTAACGAATGGTGTGAAGACATTCTCATTCCACAACAAGATACCCTAACGGTTGCACGAGCTTTCATTGATCATGCTAGATCTTGGGAGTCCGAAAAACATATACTACCGCGTACCATCCGGAAGGTAATGTTTCGGTGGAAAGAACAAACAAGATCATCAAGGCCCTTCTACAATCGTTCATCAGTAAGACGGAGTGTTATTAAACCAACCAATGATATTTGTTCTGAGAGAAGAAAATATCATTGCTGTATCAAACATGTAATATGAAACACAGATATTAGCGCTGAAAAACACTGAGTTTGTTTTAAAATTTGAGGCATTTCAATAACACTTTCTGTAGTCCACATCAAACATAGAACAATCTTACAAAAACTGAATAGATTAAAAAATCCACGTTATTTTCAACATTTCAGTTATAAAACTACATTAAAAGTACTAATTGACAATTATATTTATTAGATAATTATATGCAAAACAGGTACATACTATGATATTTTTTATTATAAACTGAGAAATTGTTGAAAATCATCACCACGGCACTAGACATCTTTTTCACTCCAGTTTGGAGTTCATTAGCAGTGGGTATCTAAAATCCCGTACGGTATGGAACTCACCATGACTATTAGATCTCACGGAAGTACGATGTTGATCGATCAGGGTGAAAGCCTAATGGACCGTAAGTTTCCCAAAGTTTTGTCTTAAAGTCTTATTCGAGTTACCTTAAAGATTTTACTTATTACACAATCCTTGTATTTTAATTTTCGGTATTGTTCGGAACACATTGACAATATCGACTCTTCTTTGGATGAGCTACTGATTAAATTGATCAACTCATAATACATTGTTATTAGTAGAAGAATTAAAAATGGATGTTTCATGTATTAAGATGTAGAAAAAGTTCAACTACTTAACCGATTTGTTCAGGAGATTGCAACACACAAGTCTGATATTGTAAGTATTATTAGACTTAGCAAAATGTAACAGTATTCCTTCAAAAAACCATCTATACATTGAAATAATTATTTTTTCCGTAGTCAAGTACTTCAATAAAACTAGATTAGATCGAATCAATAATTTGACTGAACAATTTTTTAATGCATACGTGAAGACAATATGTAAAATTCAACAGGAAATGAAATATTAAGCGCTTCACCAAACCGACTTTATAACTTACCACCTATAGTTCTTGGATAACCACGATACTTATCAACATTGTCGCCAATCACTTTCAATATAGTACGAAAGGTTCTAAAATGTAAACCATAATCCCTAGTAAAAGTGCAACAGTAGGAAAATCGAAGTGGAAAACATTTGCAGTCGAAACCTTCCTATTGACAGATAATTCCCATTTAAACATTAAAAACACGAAATTCAGAAAAGGGATCTCCTTTCAACGAATTTATTATCAAGCTGTACAATCGTATATGAAGTTTTTTATGTCTCAGAGATACGTTACGTTCTAGTTCACTAAGTCAGGATTTATTAGCATCGATACAATTGAGTGCATGACGTTTGAGTGCTTTTCCATTGGGGTGAATGTGGTTTCGCCTTGATACCCTCCAGAAACATTTAGGATAATTACTACTTTCGATACAGCTTTCGAAAAAATTGGTCTCACGTTTCACTAACGCAAGTTTGACGGTGTAACATAAGAACTGTCGTTAGATAAACATAAACAATTTGAGGACTATGTTACTATTGTTACTGAAAAACAATCACAAAAAGCTAAACGTAAACACTTGGAAACATTGCAACAAGTAGACGTAATTAAAAAGTTTCCAGAACATCCCGAAAAGTATGTATTTCATCATTCTTCTATTAAACTTTCGTCAATCCAAATGCAGGCTTTATCATTGGGTCCAAAGTTCTGTAATAGCACCTCCAAAACCAGGAGACTTCATACGTAAATACAACTCGAAAATCTACCAAATCAAACTCATGATCTTGTGCTGACATCTCCACAAGTTCTTCAGAGTTTTAAATCCACATTACTGGACTGTAATCATGGATGTATTAATATACAGTGTAGTAAGAATAACTTATTAACAAAGAACCATTTGGATCAAATAATGCTCCTGAAAATAAATAAGTATTTTATCCTAGGTAAACCTGGCAAATGAGCTGGTGTAGTACTACTTGATCGCTAAGAATATTTGGATACAATGATGTTAATCCTAGAGGATGATATTAAATTTTCCAAACCTAAAAGAGAGGTAGACAAAACACCACAAATTGAAAAACAGCTAACGGATGTTGTTAAAAATCTTAAGGATAAGGGGATTATAACTCCAGACTTATATGATCACATACGTTCAATGGGTTTGATCATCCCGTGCTTATATGGACTACCGAAAGTACGTAAACCTGGTTTACCGTTACAACCTATTTTGGATATGTCGAGTTCATCATACCATCGAATCGCCCAATGGCTGGCTGAAAAATTGAAACCAGTTAGAAGGCAAGTATCGAAATATTATGTTCATGATACTTTTCAATTTATTGATAGTGTTAAGGACGTTAATACTTCCAGAAAACGCATGTTCTCGCTTGACGTTAATTCTTTGTTTACTAGTGTACCTTTAACGAAAACGATATGCTAAATATGTGAGTATATTGATTCTAACAACATAGATCTATGTCTGCCGACTAACCACTTGAATGAACTATTGTTACGTTGTACCTTTAATGTCCAATTCAGTTTCAACAATGAAATATATAGACAAAGAGATGGAATTGCAATGGAGTCTCCATTGGGTCCAATTTCGGCAAACTGTTTCATGAAAAAACTGGAAAATGATCAACTCAGTTCTATGATTCATTGATTTCATCTATACGTAAGGTACATGGACGACATATTTGTCATTTGTGATGATAATATTGAGTTAGAAGATATCTTACACTCTTTCAACACATGCCAACCTTTTTTACACCTCTGACCTTTAATTATTGTAATAAAAACATTTTATTCACCTTACTACATTCACGTTATAATTCATTACTAACTTATTAAGTCTATTGTTATTATTCGTATTACGTAATCTAGCATTATAATCTTTCGATTGCATCATCATAGTCATCCCTGGTTCATGTCCTCACGAAACTAGTACTTTAACATTAAAAAATTCATATATATATACGATTGTACAGCTTGATAATAAATTCGTTAAAAAAAGATCCTTCGCTGAATTTCGTGTTTTTAAAACCTAAAGTATATCAAATCTTTAGGTGAATTCTGAACTAAATGGCACAGAGACTAAACACGTACTTTTAGAACTGACTTAATCATTACACGGCAACAAAGAAGCTTACAATGGGCAAGGTAACAACACATCAACCGTTGGGTAAAACAGTAGAAGATAAAAAGAACCGATCTCTTAAAAGATAACCTTCATAGATTTAAGAGATCGTGTAACACGTCTGTCATTCAGCTAGTAACAGTTGGTGACAGCAGCGAATGAAATAATATAAAAGAAAATAACTATTAAGAAGAGAGCAAGAGAGAATGTGGTTAGCAGGTTGAAGGCGGTTTCTGTGAGATTGAAAAATTAGAATTACAAAACTAAAGAAACTAAGGTGTTCCAGCATTTCCAACTTCTCGTCTAAACTGTAACAAGACAGTTTGGACATTCGAAACCACAACACCATACTACTCTACAAGTCAAAGGTTTTTAGTGACTATTGTCTAACCCCAATATGATTGAATGATGATAATGCTAGTGAATTATACGGCCTATTAAACTTCGTATATCTTCTGAAGACTAATAACGTTACTACAACAGGGAAATAAAAAGTTGGAGAGAAGTTGCATCTAGGAGATGTATATTTCAAATATTCGTGTGAACGGATAAACTGAACAATTGAATATGTAAATTAAGTAGATGCAGAAAGGAGTAGCTGCAAAAAATCACTCAGTGAATAATGAGTGATTTATTCTTTATATAAAGTGAAAAATGTATACGTTACAAAATAACCAATTAGGGTTAAAGTTAGAAGTGAATAATCAACACGAGCACATATGGGAAAAAGACGAGTGATATAGACAAATGGAGATAGACATTCACGCATATAATATAATTAATAAAGTTATAATTGTATATCCAAAAGTAAGTAAAAGGTAGCACGACAATTTGTATTAGTCTGTTATATTTATTAAAAATACGACCGTAAATTCATCAAGTATTTACGCTTAATGTGGTCAAGGGTTAATACACATAACGTTTACCAGTGAATAATTTCAAAAAATTAATAAATGATTTAGTTTTAAGTAATATTATTTTTCAATAGATGGACTCAATGTTTTAGTGTTATTATCATCATGACGAATATAGGTTGAACAAAGCCTTCCAAATGATTCGAGATCGAAAACGAGACGATTAGCCAGAAGAAAAGACCATTCTGATGGTAAAAGAACGGACTTATATACAAACTACTAACAAAAATAATGACTGAGTGTTCTAAAACGATTAGACAATATTAATTTTGTAGGTTTCAGACTCTCCAATGAATAAAAACATACCCATCAGTATTAGGTTTTGACACATGAACAACACTAAAACCTTTGTTCTTTGATCCCACTTTATATCGGTTATTTATATCAATAAAATAAACAAAAAGACTATCCTCACTTCGTGCTTCCAGTGAAGTTGATACCAGCAAGTTGAGGGTGCTCACAAATTACTTTACCAAATGTTGGGCCATCTGCTGGGACAAAGTTGATTACGCCAGGGGGTAAACCTGCTTCGCGGAATAACCTTTAGAATTACATAATAAAGAAACAGGAAGATATGAGAGCCAACGTTGTAAAGTGTAGCATATAATTGAGAATAAACACGTACAATAAATCCATAAACTATTTAGTTCGTCAGACATATTATTATTATGGCACTCACTAAGTATAGTTTTATGCACTCGGCTTTCAACCAAACTGCGCGAAGGTTGGCGATACCACCTGATTCCCAAGACCAAAGGGGAGCAGTGTTCGAACTTGGAACACAATGGGTGGAATCAGAGTGTTTTAACCACTAATCCACAGCACCATGACCAGATTAGTAAACATTCTTATTTAAACACATAAACATTGGTACAAGGAGACACCAAATAGATATGCGCCACATAAATCATTCGATTTGCGTGAGGGCTGGGATACTTCGTGGGTGCCCAAACCGAGGCATGTGGTTTTCTCAAGGGGACACTTCCCAACTCTTTGACCTAAAATTCTAATCCACAGGGCAGTGGAGCAACGTAAGGAGATGCAGTCCTATGGTAGCCGGTGACCAACAATAGGTTCATACTCCATTTGTTCCCTCGGGATACTGAAGCCCATCTGCACCATTAGTTTGGAATCAGGGTTTTTCAACTCACCAGGTGGACACGGAGCGCTGGACATTCGCTATCCATTTTATCAATTCCGTAAACGACATCCCCGCCACGAGAAGGCAGTGAGTAGGACTTCCCTGTCAGTGGTTGTATGCACGTGGCCATGTGAGAGCATTTGGAGAGGAAGAGCTGACTCTCCATTCTCGGTCGTACCAGAGCGTTTGGGGGCGATTAGTAAACAAATTGTTTATAGTCCCTACACATACAAGTACCAAAACTGTTAACTCGTAATACCGTCTAGTTAAAACTTAATTGACACTAGCTGTGCATTTATGCAATCGTAAATTATTATATTTTAGTTTAGTTTACCTGACGAAAATTTTGCTCCAACTTTTTTTTAAAGAGTGCTGTCAATAAAATAGTGATATGAACTGAAAAAATACAGGAAAGTGAGGAGTAAAGAAGTAATTGAATTTATAGAGTTGAGATCATGAGTCAATTGAAGCTAGACCACCATGGAAAACCTGGAAGCACTGGACGGCCGTTTCGTCCTATTATGGGACTCCTCAGCAGTGCGCATCCACGAACCCACTCTCGCGGGATTCGAACCCAGGACCTACCAGTTTCGAGCCGAAGCCCTTAACCGAATTGTCAAATTTGAAAGGAGATGAATGATACATCAGCATCATAGGTACATATTTGAACTACTACACCAATGGGTTTTATTCACTGATTAACACTATAAAACAGACAAACTAAATATTTATCAGAGTAGACTGTTATTCTTTTATTTATTTATTTAAACACATATTGGTACAAAAGGGCACCAGATACATATGTGCCACACTGTTATTCTATCATTTTGCATAGTAGTGCATAGTATTCGTTATCCATTCACTGAAAGTAGGTTAGTGAAAACCATATTTTACAAGCTACAGTAGCTCTTAGCCAATGAAAATGTTTTGTTAAATATTAAACCAACCGAATCCCGTATAATATAAATACTTCTATTATTATTTCAAAATTTTGATATGAGAAATACAACTTATGGATATCTCCATTATGAGCTGAAGGTTTTCAATATCTTTGGCTACCAATATTTCCATGGTTTGCTGAAACCAATGAAAGAACTATACTAAAATTTAGTGGTCTGGATTTGAAGAGATCGGTGGTCGATCAATCATAATACGCGTCAGTTATCAGAATTACGAAGGACACCCGATCGACAGCGCAGTTTGGTGGTAGAAAAACCATTTGTTTGTAAGTATATTAACGAAGATTATTAAATCCTTACAAACCCACAGACCTTAATTGATGTATCCATTCACAAACGTTAGTACACATCATAAGGTCAGATTTACCAAGAAATACTTCTGTTTGAACAGAAAAATAGACAATATGGCTCATGTATGACTACTACAAATTATCTCCAAAAATGATATCGTAAAAATATGTCCCAGTGAGCTTCTTACCTGTAAACAAGGTAATTAGAATATACGGATGCATCAGAGGGTTTCCAAATCACAACATTCCCCATTAAAGCTGGGGCACTTGCTAGGTTCCCCGCAATAGCGGTAAAATTAAATGGTGATATAGCAGCCCAAAACCCCTTTAAGGAAAAAAGACAGCAAATAATCGTAAGGGATGAATGATGACAATTACTTCATTTGCTCGGTAAACTACTTTATTCTTTGCATCCTGGGTATTGATTGGTTTATATCGCAGAGCTTCCTGTGGTTAAGAAGAGATTTGAACTTGAAGTAAATACATACTGAGGCAAATTGCACATTAAAACGCAAGAAATCTGCTAATTCTGCAGCCGCGTCCATCTCAGCCTGAAAAATTGTTTTTGCCTTAAAGTGGGAATAGCTTAAAATAGAAAGTATATGATCTCACTTGACCGAGTATAGTTGATGCCAACAATTCCATGCGATATTTATCACTAACAAGGTCCGCTGCTTTTAAGAATACCTTAGCGCGTTCATCAAAACTTGTACGTGACCACGTTTTGCGAGCTATTAAACAAGACTCAATTGCACTTTTGATTTGCTCTCCTGAGGCATGATAAAAATTGGCCAATGTTTTCGAATGCTCAAATGGCTTGATTCTTCCCATTAAAAAAAACACTTTCTTGACATACCAAAATCTGCCTTCGAGGTTGTCCGGATGATAACTCGTTTGAATCAATGCATATAGGCACATGATAAGGCCCGTTTGAAATCATAGTATCCAACGTACTATCCAACCTCTGACGTTCCGTACTACCAGGATTATGCAACAGAACTGGTTCGTTTGTGACCTGGAAAAGCCTGCTCAATAGTTTTTGATACTGCCATTTCGGAACACAACGACAAACGTTACACGACCTACAAATAATTTGCAGAAGATAAGATACTGTGGTTGGAAAATCAGGAATAGAAGAAACTTATATTAATAAGCCTACGATATAAGTATGATCTTTAGACATAAAGTACCTTGCAATCGCGATGATATGGTGTATATACATATACGTAAGTAAAGGGTTATTAAGGTGAAAGTACCAGATCAAACATGGGTTTTTAATTAATTTAAATAACTACACATATCTCTGCTTTTGAAGCACCAAAAATATAACTAACCTTCCAACTTAGAGGAATATGTGGAGCAATTTTATGGAAGTCGTATTAGACATTTCGAGAAAACGTTCAAAAAACCCCAATATTCGCACACAATGTTGGGGTTTTTGCAAAAACATTCCATACAATTCACACCACGTTTACACAAACTGGAGAAATCTAATCAACGTCATTAAGACATTCCGGGAATTTCCACATGTAATAAATGCACCTCCCCACTATTCGTAACTGGAGTTTTATATTTTCACAAACTTGACGCCCTTAGAAAACTAGTCATTTACTAGTTATCATAAGAAAATATTTTTGTACCAGACCTCTCTGCATCAGTCAGTCTCAGCTACAACGTAGGACCAGGCACATATATACATCGATCCAAGTTGCCACAGCCCATTAGCACAACAAGATGAACACCAAATTCATAGTAGTTAATTCAATGGTAGTAATATATAAAAGATTGTGTATAAGGATATAGTACAGGAAGAATTAGGTCGTAGAAAGAAAAATATAAAGCCATTTCAACCTCAGGGTTTAAGGGGAGACAATGAGTGTGTGCACCGACGCCATTGTGATCTATTCAGGGCCATGTCACGCAGTCTCTAACCTTGGCTACGATAGTCGCGCAGACTCCAGCCAAGTACTCTGCATCTACCAACATGGCTCAGACTAGAAGTTAGTGACTTCAAGCTCTGATGCCACGTTTTGGTTTGGTCGCCCCTAACCTTCTCCCAACCGCCTCCAACAATAGTCAGCATTGAGTGCCATAGTAGTTGGTGCTTGGGCATGCTTAACACGTAACCCAACCATCTCATTCGATGTATATTCACAACCTTATCAACTTATCATTATGCCCTGACACCCTGGCGTCTAACCTCACTATTACTTATCCTGTGATACCAGCAGATGCAAGCAAAATTTCTAAGACATCTGTCATCAAATACTAGTAACTTACGAGTACCTTTACTCTTAATGACTACACGTCGACAACCTCATTTATCTTGGAAGTCTGATCAGCCCTAATGGGTTGGTATCTGACAAAATCTTAGCGCGGATTCGAAAAGCTCATTTGGCTTTTGCCAACTTATCTCACCTATAGCAAAGGCGAAATATCCATCTATCAATTAAGGAATGAGTACACTGTGCAGCAGTTCGTTCTGTTCTACTTTACAGCTGAGAAACGTGGCCATTAAGAGTAGAGGATACTTGTAAGTTAATAGTATTTGATGAAATGTCTTAGAAATATTGCTCACATCTGCTGGGATTATTGACTAGATGCTTTGGGTCTCAGTTTTAAAAGTGCTTTCTGTTAGGAGATAAACATCAGACGAGCAATGGTCGCAGCGAGTCACTGTAAATTATTCATTCGATATAGATTGTTCTCAGCTCGTATTTTTTCCGTAAGTTTTACAGACCTTAATGTATGTATTTTGTTGTAAGAGCTACTGTCACGGGTTTCACAATAGTAAATTATGCAGTATTCATAATTAATCTTGGCTCCAACTTTTTAAATGTATATAATTAAAGCCTGCTACGATTTTTAAAAAGAATTCATTACTTTCAGGGACTCTAAATTTTCTTTCGTCTGACCTAATAATGTTGTACTGAAATGAGAAAAACTGGAGTTATCACTCAAATAAAATACTGTGGATCAATTAAGTTCAAACAGTATTTCCGATGGCTCAGCGACATCAAAAAAAGTTTACGTACACGTTTCGAAACGTTTCTTTGTTTTAAACCTTTTTAGTTTTATTAAATACACAATTTCATTTGTGACACGAATGTAAGATATAGAAAGTTTGAGAGAAAGACTACTTGTATTACATTTAAGAACTGAGTTAGGAACTTAGTTTAGGAAAATTCACAGACCGTGGTAAACTAGGGACATTCATTGCAGCTTTTCAGGATTCACTCAAAGCGTCTGATGGGACAGTCACTAAATCTACCCGGAATCGATAAATTTCGTTCCGAAGTCAGGAGCTTCGAGTTTTTGATGATATTTTAATATACGTCTAGTGTGTTTTGTAGATTGATCGTTATGGTATCAGGAGATATCGTATTTTTTCAAAAATGGAATGAGAACTGTAAATTTGTCACCTTGAATGTACTCCTAACATGGGTGAATGAGTCGATGGGCGCTATTCAACAAAATAATTTAAACTCCCACCAAAAAATATAAATTCTAAATAGCTTGTTCAATACCCAAACACCCAGCTGTATGTCAGATTCAGTTAGATTGACTATACGTCAGCCAAAATCGACCTTTTAGATTTACGGATATCACCATAGTATGGTGCTCAGTAAAACTGTCTACCACCTCAAGGTATCTAGTTTAGAGTCATCTACAGGAAGCCCATTGCTGACATCGAGCGCAACAATCCTATGTTGGAAAGGTTAATCATCTCTATTCGTCTCGGATTCACTAACACCCTGGTTCCAAGGGAATTTAATCTTTCTGAAGTCAACATTGCTGAACTCGCGTACATTGGAAATGAAAACTCTACTAAAGCTCGTTCCTTCAACCTCAATGAAGATCTGGGATTATACAAAGATGTCAAGTCAGCAACTCGCTGGAGTAACAGTGAGACGCCGTCACACTTAGACTGGTTATTTGCAAACGAATGATTCTAATTGCCAAGCTATCAATCCTGGTCCCCCTGAGGGAAATAGATCACGCCGTCATAGCCTTCAGTTTTATCAGCAAAACTCAGCTAAGATTTCCTACCGGCAACAGGTGCTGAAATTACATGTGGTTGGATGTGTCAGCTCTACAAGAAAAACTGTAGAAGGTGGAATAGGAAGGTCTCCCCCAACTTGGTGAGGACGCTCATTAAGATTTCTTACTGCACACGATCTTATGTGCTACAAAGCAGTCTGTTTTTCTAACTGTCCCCAAAATCTACAAGCACCTTATAGTCATTAAGAACTACACTCTTCGTTTGCTAAGCCTCAAAACTCACTGTTGGGCGGAATACAAACGAGCTGATAACAACGGTGTATACAGTCGATTCAAGCACATATGGAACATATGCACAAAGGCAATAAGAGAGGACAGGCTTCAGTGCCAGATAAGGCCTATTGATAAATTTAGCTTCAGTCGGAAAAACTTATGTCGTCATACAGACTTTCTTCGACAAGTCATGACCGCAATTTTACAACTGCTAGGTCCTAATGACCCGACCAACAGTGTCGATGATGCCCTCTGACCTTCTGTAAGTACAGTACCATCGGATATTTCAACCGACCTACACCAATTATATTGATGAAAGCTTCATCTGCAGCTCCACAGGACTTTCAGAGGTGAACCTGAGCACTGAATTGGTGTATCGGAAACTGCAGTATCTAAAAACGACACTTCTCCTAGTCCGGATATGATCCTTAATGCTAAACTGAGGGAAACAGCTTCAATCTTAACAGCACAGCTTAGCATGTTGTTCTCACATAAGCTAAGCCGACGCACATTACCGGAAATTTAGAAGCTGGCTGACATCACACCGATTTTCACAGGAGGTCGACACAGCGAACCTTCAAGCTACCTGCAGGTAGTACTTTTCTCTATTCCCTCAAAAATTATAGGGTCCCTGAAATGCGAAAGTATACACGACTATTTAGTTTCCATAAACTTCTTTTCGCCCCAACAGCACGGCTTCAGAAAAGGTCACTCTTGTACAACCAACCTGCTGACTGCGGTGGACAGATGAACGACCATCCTTGATCTCAAGCGGAATGTTGACTTCATCTACCTTGATTTTTTAAAAACTTTTGATATGGTCAGTCATATATGTCTTATCAATAAGTTCAAACGATTAGGTGTCAAATCGTCTTTAATCAATTGGCTCACATCATACTCAAAAGGTCAACATTTCAAGGTCAGGTTTAGCTTCACTCACTCTTGGGCCAGTGAGTGACCTAGTGGGGCCCTTAAGGGCCCAGTGCTAAGACTCTTTTTTTTTAATTGCATAAATGATCTTCCGCAGCAGGTGTCATCCGGTTTGCTACTTTTCTCTGATGATGTGAAGCTCTGGAGAGAAGTTTGTGACCAAGATGATAAACTGGCACTTCAGAGGGTTCTGACTCAACATCAAAGTTCGGCAGATGACAACAGACTTCTAACACTTCAAAGTGCAAAGTAGTTAATCTGCGACATGTTGCGGACTACAACTACAACTTAGGCAACTCCCCACTAGAGGTATCCCAAGTTGAAAAAGATCTAAGAGTGTCGGTACTGTGTGATCTGAAGTCCCATGCTCACTACCGTAAAAATGCCTTCCGAGCACTAGTAACATTGTAACGCATTTTCGGCCAGTTTGACGGAAGTACTTTCCACACAATCTTCGAAATTTTTTTGTCCCTGTTCGCAGTATGTAACCATAGTATTTCCTCACTCACTCCAATAGGATAAGGACACTTTGAAACGTATCCAACGGCAAGCCACGAAATCAGTTCGGGGACTTAAATTCAAGCCTTATGAAGAGCGCCTCCAATCATTTAACCTTTACCCATTAGAACACAAGTGTCTTAGAGGTGACGTTCTAACGGTTTACATCACCCTAAATACTTCTGGGCATACTCATAAATGCGTAATTAAGCATAGTGCGAACAAAAGACTTATGAGTAGCACCCAAAAACTGGAGACACAACACAACAGAACGGACTGTAGACACACCTCCTACTCTTTAAGAGTAGTCGAATGTTGCGATTCACTGCCGCCTGAGCTAGTCCAGGAGTCCTTTGAGAGAAAACTTGGAATATTCCTAGTGATTATGGACAGTATCTTACTATGATGTACCAACCTTTTTCTTTTTCCTCTTTTATAGATAATAAATCTGGGTTCGTGTCTGGAGGTATCGGTGATCCACTACTACTAGATACGGAAGCCCGTTAAGAGAAAGGTTCTTCTATTTTATCCAGAACCACTATGACCATTTGAATCCGTAACGTCCGAGGACATTAACAATAGAGGCCATGATTCAGACTTTCTTACAAGAAACTAGAGATGAAGCACCAGCGATCGCTGGTTTGTGGAATAAGTGGTAAAACACAGTGTTAATTCATATATTAAGCTTTTCGTTTTTTCTGTTTTTACTAAGTGAATCGGTCAGTGGAACATTTATAATATCACATTTTCCGAAAGTAGCTTATCCGGCTGAAAAACCTATTGTTCAGAGAAGCATGATGTGTCTTTGGCTTTAGATTAGTCAAAACTGCTGCTAAACCCTAAAACCAAGTCATGAACAGTGTTAAGGGGTTTCAGAACGAGCCTGTATGGAATCACATTTTGGTAAGAATTGCGGCCAATGTAAATAAGTCCACCTTTGTCGAAATTCAGTGACAGATTCTGTGACACAATTCATTCGCACAGTTTGTTTATATTCTCTTAGATTACCACTGAAATAAAGCTTCCTTTGGTGAGGGACGAGAATAAATAGAACACATCTAGGTCGTCAACAAAAAAGGTTTACAGTGATTAAAGTGTAGGCACGCTTGATCGATGAGACGGAGAAAGAGTTGCAGTAGCATTGGACCCAAACTACACAATCCTCAAAGCTGAACATGAAACAACTGGGAAGATAGTTATTCAACATTTAAAGCGGAAAAACCCAACAATGGAGAAAAGCGGGAAGAAATAATTCAATAAATCATGTGACATGGCTAAGCCTTGCAGGCGTGGTCATTCTTATGCAACTTATCTATTTTATTCATATCAACTATATTGTTCTATCTCCAGCCTAAACGTGTTCTCCATCATATATATGGGTGATGATTGCGATAGAACGACTCTTATAGATTATGTGGTCACATCATGACAAATATACAATGTTAGGGCTAGGCCTATTATAAGAGCAGTATTAATTGTAAGATCCAATTGAAGGTTTGTGTTTGAAAATCCATCCATGCATACATTTGCAATTTATTCTTATTAGTTTCTTCAGATGTGCATTTTGCTAGTCTTTTTGATGCCGTTTGAAATGGTAATATTTTATCCATTTATAGTTCTCTCATTTTTCTTTCTCATTCACTGAGTTTCTATATTTCTTCTGGACCTGTATTTATGTTGTTTTAGTTGACACTTAATACTGACGGAAGCCATATTGATTGTTCCCCCTTTTATTGTGTTGCTTGAGTTGACTGTGGTTGTGAATTTTGATTGAGTCGAAGCACTTTTCCAGAATTGGAAACACATTGAGTTTTAAAGCAACAAACTAGTATCTTTTCAAAAGATTTTTATTTGATCTATCCAGAAAGGATAGAATAACACTTTGTTTTGGTGCGCTCTGAGATGCAGCTACATCCAACTGACGAGTCCCAAATAGGACAAAATGCGAGTCCTGGATTCCACAGCTAGCCACTATCCATCTTCGCTTAACCAGACAGTTGTTCTTCAGCCAAACTTTAGTCTGTATCTTACACTAATGACGTAGTGGTCGAAATGGATAACACTGATTACGAAGATATCATGGGACGACATGGACTGGGAGAGAGAAATGAAAACGGCGACAAATTTGCAAATCTATGTGCATTCAACAAAATGTTTGTAGATGGCACTGTATTCTCATACAAACGCATACATACGAGGAGTAACAGGCGTAAGTACGTTAGTTTAACAAATCATACTTAGGCTAACCTGATAATTTAACTCCAAATGTGCTGTAAGAGCTTATTCCAGATGTTAATATACGGTCAGTATAGAGTAAGACATCTTCATATGCTCAATTTTACTATCTTCGGTTCAGCATTTTAAAAAACTAATTAATAAACAAGTAAGAAATATAGTACGGGTTGTGTGGGCATACATGTGCAATTATATAGACGCTCAAGGCTATAAGTGGATAGTGAACGAGTGAAAATTTGCATGTGCATACTGAATTTAAGTAGGCGTTATATGAGCGGCCTGCTTAAACATCTGGGCTACCTGTTCCTGTCATCTATATATTTCAACAAGTTATCTAATATTATTTGTTTTAATACATGATTATGGCTATTAATCACACAACCTATTCAGGTTTTTTTTAAGCTGAGAATTCGATTTTGTACCAAATAATATAATATTGAATAAAGCTAATAATAATAAGAACTCCATATCGATCACTACGAGTCTCCATACATTGTATTTTAGCTTATCGTAGATGGGTCTAAATGTCAAAGTCTTAAGTGACTTCTAAAATAGTGATAG